TTTGAAAAGAATTGAGCAAGTAAAGAGCAAAGAGATTAAAGACTTTGAGGTTAAGTCAGATGGAAATTTATATTATAAAGGAAGAATTGTGATACCCGACAACGAAGATTGGAAAAAAGAAATATTGACAGAGGCTCATTGCAGTCCATTAACGATGCACCCGGGTGGAACCAAGATGTATATAGATTTGAAGGATCGATTTTGGTGGCCAGGGATGAAACGAAGCATCACCAAATTTGTGTCTAAGTGTTGATATGTCAACAAGTCAAAGCTGAGCATCAAGTTCCGTCAGGATTATTGCAATCGCTTTACATTCCTCAATGAAAATGGGAAAATGTTACGATGGATTTTGTTTCGGGGTTACCCTTGACTCCGAACAAAAGAGAATCAATCTGGGTAATTATTGATCGATTGACTAAGTCAACGCATTTCCTTCCGGTTAGAACAAATTTCTCTATGGAAAAGTACGTTGAGCTGTATATTAGAGAAATTATTAGATTGCATGGAGTGTCTGTTTTCATAGTCTCTGATCGAGACTCTCGATTCACTTCTAGATTCTGGAAATCTTTGCATGGAGCGTTGGGAACTCGTTTAAACTTTAGTACGGCTTTTCATCCTCAGACTAACGGGCAATCAGAGATAACTATTCAGATCTTGGAAGATATGTTGAGAGCATGCGTAATGGAATTCAAAGGATCATGGGAAAAGTATTTACCACTGGCAGAGTTCGCTTACAACAATAGTTATCAGTCCAGTATAAAGATGGCCCCATACGAGGCATTATATGGGAGGAAATGTTGTACTCCATTAAATTGGTATGAACTCAAAGATCGAAGTGTTCTTGGTCCGGATTTAATTCAAGATGTAGAAAAGAAAGTTCGAGAAATTCAGCATAACCTCAAAGTAGCCTCTGATAGGCAAAAGTCCTATTCTGATCTTAAAAGAAAATAGATTGAATTCGAGGTTGGAGATAAAGTTTTCCTTAAAGTATCCCCCTAGAAGAAAATATTACGTTTTGATCGGAAAGGAAAGTTAAGTCCTAGATTTATTGGGCCATATGAAGTTGTTAAGAGAATATGACCCGTGGCATATCAGTTATCCTTGCCACCGAAATGGAGAAGATCCATAACGTCTTCCATGTATCCAATGTTACGAAGATATAGGTCCGATCCCTCTCACATCGTTGCAACAGAACAAGTAGAAGTCCAATCGGATCTAACATATGAAGAAGAGCCAGTGAGAATATTGGATTATGAAGTAAAACAGTTGAGGAATAAAGTTGTTCCATTGGTCAAAGTTCTCTGGAGGAATCACAAAGTAGAAGAAGCCACGTGGGAATATGAAGAAGATATGTGATTTCATATCCTCATCTGTTCGTGCAATGAAAATTCAAGGACAAATTTTCTTAAGGGAGGGAGATTTATAACATCCTCCATACCGGGTTAGTGATCAAATTGTGAAATTTCAAAATTTAGTGACCAAAGTAGATAAATTGAATGGTTGAAAGATTTAATGGGAATGTTTTGTGTAGGATCAATTAACAAAGAATGAGGAACTAAAGGGGTAAATGAGTCTTTTAATAGGGGAAATAATTAAATATTAGATGATGATATTTAAATCCACGTGGAAGGCAAATGGAGAGAACAAAAGTTTCCAGATTTCTCTTCTTTTTCTTCATCGTGAGACCAAACTAAAGGTGACTTTTCTTGTTGATCAAATTCTTGATGAAATTAAGATTTCTTATTGATCCTTAGATGATAACTAAGCTTAAGGAAAGTTTAGATTATCTTAAAACCATAAGATGATAAGTATATAAAGAATTAAATAAAAGAAGTAGAAAAGTGAAATATTGGATTAGAGTTCATAATAAGAATTAGAAGTGGGATTTGACTTGTCATAAAGCTAATTAAGAAGTATGTGGTGTTAGAATTCAAATTAGAACATGTTGGAATTTGGGTTAGATTCTTAAATTCTACATGGAGAATTGGATTTCTAAGTTTTAGAGGTATGCAATGGATAATAATTAGTTTAAGTAAGAGTATGCAAGTTAGGGATATAAAAGGAGGTGAAATATAAATTGTAGAGAAGATTATAAAGAGATTTTCGTGCTTAAAATGACATTTCTGGGCTATGTGCATCGATGCATCAAGGATAAATCCCAGAAATTATTCAAGGTGTACCGATGCACATAAGGTGTACCGATGCACATGAAGTGCATCGATGCAATCTTTTAAAATACAAACATTAATGCCATTGATGCATCGATGCATAAGGAGTGCATCGATGCACCCCACTAAATACAAATATCGAATAGGATTTATGCATCGATGCATGATGCATGGTGTAGTGCATCGATGCATATCTCCATTAAAAAGATGAAAATGGCTTTTCTTTTAGCCTAAGAAATGATAGTTGAGAATATACTAATTAGTATACTGATAAGTATCAATGAATTACTATATAGATATCAAGCCTAAACGAGTTCTGGAAACATTGACAAGTAGGATTGATCGAGGGAAAGACAAAGAAATCTAGGTGAGTGCATATGCATAGCATGAATATAGTATTATAATCAGTTCTAGACTTATGATAAGTCTAGATTCAATATTTTGATACATGATTACATTCCATATTATGAAACATGATATGAGTTTATACCATATGCATTATGTGACATGAATATGCAGGAAAAAGTTATATGAGTTATGTGATAAAGGTATGGAAATGATATGTCTATGTGATAAAGGTAGGAAAATAATATGTCTACGTGATACAAATTATGTGAATTGTGAAAGCCCATGTTATGTAGATGAGAACTATAGGTATAGCTGGCATGCCAAGGTAGAGGGTCTACGCTGTCCTTCGAGATATGTATATATATATATATTCTTTGGAACATGTGTGAAGTCTTGTGAGACACATACTTGATCCCTAGTATATGTATATGATTCTTAAGGAATGATATGTGGTCCTTATGGACATTATTATATGGCACTCCGGTGCAATTCTACGCGGCACTCCGATGCAATTCTACGCGACACTTCGATGTAATTCTACGTGGCACTTCGGTTCAATTATACGAGCTGTGGTGACAGCATAGTGCACAACTTCACAATACTCTCATACCTTAGGTTCTCAATATGATATCATGGGCTAATGAACTTAATAATGTGAACTTATGAATGTGAGTTTGATAAATCTATGTGTAAGAAACATGGTTATGGTTATTGCATTGTTTACATACATATTATCATTGCAACCCATCTCATTTTGGCAATTCCTTTATTTTTTATTGTTATTATTATATTGCCTCACTAAGTCGATGACTTAGCGTGTGAGTGTTTCACATGTAGGATTTGATAAAGTAGACGATCGAGGTTAAGCAGCTGGACAACATTACTCCTACAACTATCAGATTAGAAGCAACTTAATCAATAGGTCATTTTGTTATGTAAATGGATGTTGGCATGTAACTAAAGGGTTAAGTTGTGTATGCTCTGAGTATTTTGGTGAAAGTGTATTAATATATGTATATTATCGTATTTTCTTAATATAAGTTCAAATGTTGTGATTTTGTAAGAAAGGTGTTTTAAAAAGGTAATGTGACACCTCGGACTAGTATCCGGGTCGGATACGAGTTGGGGTGTTACAAAGATGGTCAAAAATATGATATGTATAAACTAGTAAATGTCTAAGATATCCTTTTGAATTAAATAACCAAATTACCCCTAAGTGCTAAGATGGTCAAAATAATATGAAGTGATTAAAAATACCCATGTATCAAAATAATATGATGAGATAAAAAGAATGGCATGATATAAGCGAGTAAATGTCTAAGATATCCTTTTGAACTAAATAACCAAATTACCCCCAAGTACTAAGATGGTCAAAATAATATGAAGTGATTAAAAACACCCATGTATGAATAAAAATAAAAATAAAATCTCTATATGCAGTAAAAGACTAAAATATCCATGAGTAAAGAAAATTACAAAAAACCCATAGGGATAGTAAATGAATTTATAATAACTAAGGATGATTAAAATATGTATTAGGATGTGCTAATAAGTGCTACAATACATTACATGTTGTATGGTGATTAGGGAGGCCTGTGGTAAGTCATTCCATATGAGTGATCTTCATTGTGATATGGTAAGAATGTATTGTAACACAATTCTTGTGCATAATTGTATAATATTCATGGAACTTAGGGTTCATATTCGGAAAAGCAAGACTGTGTGATATTTGTGTATCATGTGCATCAACATGGTATAGTCTAATTTGCCTAAATAACCTTGTAAGAGCATTAAGATATGATTGACATGCTATATAGTCTAGCAGTCTCATTGTAGTACATTTGTGTACAATTGTAACCCTTCCGTAAATAGTCTTGCACTTCGGTGCATTCGTGGACATTATTGCTATCATCATAAACTAGCTCTTCCATATTATTTCGTGTCTTTTGTGATAATGAACTTATTCATAGTATGTAAACATGACATAATATTATTGATATCCTATGCATGATATTTTTTGTGGAAGAAATCACTAATTTTATTTAAAATAAAAAATATTTTAAATTACAATAAAGATTTATTAATCATAATCATAAATTAAAGATTTAAAATTATAATCGTAAATTAAGTATATAATTAGAACAATTTCTTATAATCATTGAAATAAAACTAACAATTTAAGATCACACAACGAAAGATTAAGGGTCCATTTGGTTGGGAAAAATATTTTACGAAAAATGTTTTTCCCATTTTCCTGTGTTTGGTTCCTGTAAAACAAGAGGGTCAACGTAAAACATTTTACAGTAAACGAAAACCTAAAAGAAAACACGGTAAAATAACTTACCGTTTGGAAAAGGATAAATCGATCGATCCAGTGGCCTCCTTCTCACCGGCGAGGCGGGCGGTCATCTTTTCAGGTATCTCTCTTTTCATCTTCCCCTTTTCATCTTCCTTGACCTCCTTTTCTTGTTTCATCTTCCTTGACTTCCATTTTCACCGACGAGGCAGAAATCAGATCTGTCATTGAAGTCCGCAATGGCTCCACATTTCTTGATCTAATTGTTGCTCAGATTCAGGTTATAAATTTTCCTTCCCTTATAAGTTGTTGGTTTTCGTTTTTGTCTTATGTTATAAGATGCAGCTCATTTGAAAACCGTCGTTTTCTTTGTTTTGATCAGAATCTTAATACGAAATATGGATGTAGCGTTCCATTGGTGCTGATGAACTCATTCAATACCCATGATGACACAATGAAGGTTTATTTCTACATTTATATAACTTTTTCCTTCACCTCATCTGATTTATTTTTCTTGTCATCAGCATTCGATCTATTTTTCATATAATTATTGTTCAATGCAGATTGTCGAAAATTACTCCAATTCAAACGTTAAAGTTCATATTTTTAATCAGGTTTAGAAATTGAATTTCACCTTCTCAAGATTCAATTTAGACTCAACGACATAAAACAGAGATCCATTTCTTGTATTCTATTTTCTCTGATTTCTCCCCTCATTTCTTGGATATTCATAGAGCCAATATCGTCATCTGGTGGCTGAAGATTTTACTCCATTTCCTTGCCAAGTGCTGCCTGGAAAGGTTGGATGGTGAACTTTGTTGCTCTATCTCCTTCTTTTAATCTAGTCCCTCCATTGCAGTAAGGATGCATGGCAATCTTAAATGCTAAACTACAGCTAGAGACGAACAGTAATTTAAAGGGCCTGAATTCTTTTTCTTTCATCCAATTCTCTCATTTTATATGCCTTCATTATCGGTTGTGATTACTATTTTTGAGCTGCTTAGCTTCATCTGAATTACTATTTGCTTCCCAACTTGTAAGAACATTGTAAGGTTTTGAAGCTTTGAAGTGGTTTAAAAAGGGATGGATGTATCATAGATGTAAAGTGTTAGTTTTCATTCAAAAAAGTATGATGAGTTCATGTGCCATTAATATTTAGAGTTTCAGAATAGTCTTATAGATGTTATATCTGAGCCATAACCCATTCATAAGAGAAGTGTTATTGTCTTCGTTGTTTCCAAAACTTAGCTACGAATTTACGTATATTTTTTGTTAAATGATGTATGTTTCTTAGTTAAACGCATTCACAGGATAATTGAAGAGTGTCATAGTTTTAGAAAATGAAGTATAAGGTTTTCCATGTATTCTTTATGCTGTAGTGGTGGATGAAATTATTGGGCTGCTTCTCAGCCTCTTCTATATTTTCTATAATGTTCATAATGAAGCATAATGTTCATAACACTCTCACTTTTGATTTTTTTTTTCACTTATTGCATTGAATAGGTTTCATTTTGAGTTTCTTGTTCAATGGTAATCTCTTTACTAGAGCTTTTCTTTTCTGGATAAAGGTATCCTCCTGGTCATGGTGACGAGTTCCAATCTCTAATGAACAGTGTCAAGCTTGATACTTTCTTATCAGAGGTTATGGCTGCAATGCAATGTGATTTTCCTATTGCAGAATAAATAATAATAATAATAATTTTTTTAGATTTTTCTACTGCATAATAAATTAACATTATTATTGGTTTTCACTACTGCAAAATAAAAATAAAAAGTATCGAGTTATACTTGAATCTCCATATCTTTAGAATAATGGGAAAGCTGGAGTTATTTCTGCAGAAAATAACTTATTGCAGTTAAACCAGAAGAATTTACTGCTTAAGCTTTTGTCCATAGCTGATTATCTTGGTTTATTTTTTAATTTTGCGAACATGCGATTAACCTTTTTAGTACATAATGGTGAATCACCAACCGAGAAAAAAAAAACAAATGTTTCTTACTTTAACTAATTAACTGACACTGTTTTTTATATGTGTAATTAAGCTCCTTGAAATTGCACAAGTTCCTGATGCACATGTAAGTTGTCCGTTTTCCATCTTTCTTTGTCTATTTGTTGTTTTGCTATTCATTCTTTTCCACCCCAATTTGCTTTTGACTTGATTTGTTTAATGGAGAACATGTAGTTTTGCTAATCATCTGTCAGGTTAATGGCTGATGTGATTCTATTTGTAACAGGTCAATGAATTCAAGTCCATTGAGAAATTTAAAATTTTCAATACAAACAATTTGTAAGTTACCCTCCCTTAACTATCGTAACTGCTTATTGGTTTACCACTGATGATTTATTTATTTACAGGTGGGTGAACCTGAAAGTAATAAAGAGGCTCGTGGAAGCTGATGCACTCAAGATGGAGATCATCCCAAACCCAAAGGTTTGTTTCTTTGCTTTTTCATTACCATGTTGCATCTGATAGAATTCTGCTTACCAAATAATAAAATTGGCTGCAGGAGGTCGATGGAGTCAAAGTTCTTTGTTTTTTGTTTTGTTCTAATTGTGTGTTATTTATTTTGTGGCTAGGAAATCAATGGCCCCGAAGACTTATCCGGCTAAAGGTAGATGAATGTTAAAGGTTGTAGTATCTGTTTTTGTCTGGAAATGTTCATGTGCAACAGTCTTAATATACGATTAAAAAAATAATAATAACAAATCGGTAAAAAATGACCGGAAACATTATTATTTCTACCGGTTTTATTATTATTGGATGTTTTACAGGTTTTGATAACATATCCGGTAAAACGTTACCTAAAACATTATTTTTTTATCGGGTTTTTCCGTTGCATTTACCAATATAGGTAATTAATAATAATAACAAAACCGATAGAAATAATAATATTTTAAGTAATTTTTTTACTGATTTTTTTAAAAAAATAATAACAAAACCGATAGCACATTTTTAACCGTATATTAAAATTGTCGAACCGTAAAAAACCCCTTTTTTGTCTTGCGGAAGTTTTATTCAAGTTTTGAGAATGTTTTATTTATTATTGTTATTATTATTTGGTTGGTTTTACTCTGCATATTGCTGAAAAACATTTGATTTGAAAAATATTGTTCCATGAGTACTGTTTGTATCTCATTAGTAACTCAAATACAAACTCCACAATTATAAAAACTAATTAACATAAATAAATAGTAATCAAAACGTGGTACTATTGTTGTTTTAATGTGGTGTACTATTGTTAAACTTAAAATAGTGTATTTATAGCACAATCAACATAGATTATTATATTATCTATAAATTTAGTTTGTCGTACTTATAAAATACAATTTTTTTATAAAATATAATTATATAAAAAAAAAATGAACCTTTAAAACTAATAAAGAATAAAAACATTTCGAATATGTATGCTTCTTTATTAAAAACAGATTCTGAAAATTATTTTCAGAAAAATTAACCAAACAGTGTAAAACATTTTACAATATATCATTCAAACACTGAAAAATATTTTCTGGAAAATTATTTATATTTTCTGTAAAACATTTTCCATATTTCATTTTTCGGAAACTATTTTCAATGAAACAGACCCTAAAATCTAACAAAAAAACTCAAACAAAGATATATACAAACAGATCTAATTGCATCAGCAAGTAAAACACAAAAGGGGATCAAGCTATTAAAAGACCATCGACAAACCGTAAATCAGACTCGAGCGATGTGAAAAGCTATTCACAAATGCATAACGGGTATCCAAATCTAATTCGAGAGTCCAAAGCAAGGAAGATCATCAATATAACAGATAAACGCCATCTTGATCAGTCATAGCGATGTCTAATCAACCATTAGAAAAAGATAAATAAAAATAAAAACCAAACGATCAAAAAAGTGCCGAAAGGCAGAAGAAAACGTGCTATAAAGGTAGAGAAAAACATGGCATACATGCAAACTTATTGAAAAAAAAAATAAAATAAAAGGACAATAAAAAATATCGACGGTCGACAACCAACATTAAAGTTGATGCCGCCACCGATCAACAAAGACAAAAAAAAGAATAGATGAACAACTTACTAATGAGAGAAATTAGAAGAAAAACCTTTTTTTGCTTTTTTATGTTATGTATCCTATGCATGACATTTATATGTGTGATATGATGTTCTCAAGTATGTTTACTCGTATATGGTAATAAAAGTATTATATATTTATAACCCTTAAGGATAATGTTCACGGTTATGAAAAATGTTACCTTTTGGATCGAGATAACTATGATTTTATGCGTATTGAATCTAAGAAAATTACAATTATTAATCGTGATAAAGTGAATAAGATAGTGTGATGATCCGAGTTAGATTATACTTTAGACTTGAATTAAGTGTGATAAACTCATATAAGAGATTAAAGACTATAAAAGCAAATGAATAATGGTTATAAATCTCTAGCATACATAGATGATTAATTTTGTGAAATTCATGAAATATAGTAGAATAGATGTGTATCATTGATATTTATTAGCCCAACGTTCAAATTTCTTCGTTCGCTCATTACATGTTTTGTCAATCACAGTAGGATAACAATATGATCAGATAAGTGTCAGTGGAAGAACCTTAGTATACTATGGATGACTTAAGTGAGCATCTAAATGATTGTGATTTGTATTAAAGTCTTATTGTAAATAATTTATTTACGTATTTTGATTTTTAAATAAAGAAGCTCCGCTTTTGTGATTTTTCTGTTTTCCATATTTTGTATTAATTATTTTTAAAATTTTGAGTAAGTCGTATTTCTTAAGGTGTAAAGTGCGAGATCACGGTGATGATCGAATGTGGCACCCGTGAACTCAATGGTGTATAAAAGTCCGATTTAATGATGTTAAATATATTAAAGGAAAAAAATTAGAAGATAAAAAAAATATTTTATGCAAAATACTAGGTTTCAATAGTGAACGTCTTGTTTGTAAAAATAATAAGCTAGAAAAGCTTATTTGCTATATAAAATAAAATAAGATAACATGATTTATGAATGTTTTTTAAATAAATATTGATCAGACAACGAGTGAAATCTACATTAATAAATGATATTATTATTGGAGAATTTTAATATAAAATGATAAAAATTGTTCATTGCCAATAAATAATTAGGAATGATATTCTCACCTTTTAAGGAAAAAAATGACATTTAAGTAATAATAAATTATCTCATTCTCATAATTTAAGAAAGAAAATGATAATATCAACCGAAGGAAAAATTTTACAAATTAATTGTAATAATATAATTTTACATTTTGCTCCTTTTATGAGGGTAAATTGGTGATTAAAATAGCTTAAGGATATCATGTTATTTTGTAAAAGGGAAAGGTATAATCAAAAGGGCAAGTTTGGGCGCGTCTCAGTTACTCAGGTAAATCTGATATTTGTTACTGTTTACAAAATCTGGGTAATTAAATTTGGATTCAAATAAAGTTGATTTAGAAAATAAAGTTGGATTTCGGTATAGAAAAGTTGATTTAGAAATCTTTGGATTTTGAGGAAGTTGGGAGGATTGAGAGAAAAATATGCGAGATGAGCTCTCTCTGGGTGCACGTTAGCCGGACTAATGAGACCTCGGGGCTGGTTCTTCGTTGCTGATTTCTCTTATTTTGGTGATTCTAGAGTTGTGTGGGTGATTCTGGTGGTGTTTGTGTTTCTAATGGAATCGAGTTTGGATTGGAGAAAGCTATTTGGGGGATCTAAGGAGCAAACCCTGGATTTCTTTCTGCCTGAGAAATTGGAGGGGATTTCCACCGTTAAACCTCCATCTGCTGTGTTTGATGAGGGAATTGTTGAATGGGGCCACTCGATTGTGGGGCAATTCATAGGAGCTGCTCCGAATTTTGGCTCCATGCAAAGGGTTGCTGAGATCTTGTGGGGAAAATTCTCGACTGTGAAGGTTAGTTTAGCAAACTCGAATCTTTATATCTTTTCCTTTTCTAACAAAGACATGAGAGATTGGATCCTTGAAAACGAGTCGTGGCATGTGCAAAATAAGCCGCTCATTCTAAGGAAGTGGGAGCCTAATCTGTAGAGGCTTGATTTTGATCTTAAGAGTATACCGATCTGGATACAACTGTACAATGTGCCCCTAGAGCTTTATACTAGATTGGGTCTCAGCTACATCGCGAGTGCTGTAGGGCATCCATTATACATGGATTCCATCACAGCATCTAAAGAAAGGCTTTAGTATGCTAAGGTCTGTGTTGAAATTGAAGCTGGTGTTGTGGTTCCTGAGACAGTTCAGATTATATTGAGTAATGGATCTATTGTGGGAATTAGGGTTCATACGCCTTGGCAACCTAAGTTTTGCTCTTATTGTAAAACTTTTGGTCATCAGTCTAATTTCTGTGCAGAGGCATCAGTCAAGAACAAAGAAATTCAAGTATGGAGGAAGAAACCTATTTTTCCTGGGATTATTGTTAAGGAAAAAACAGTCCCTGCTAGCTCTTACTCTCATCCTAAGGGCTCCAATCCATGTTTTAAGTCCTTAGGAGCTAATATCCTGCAGGGTGCTGCTGCTGTAGAGTTGTCTGTGGTGGCCCTTCAAGAGAGAAATGATACTACTCCCTTGACTGATTTTATTCAGGGGTTGGTGAAGGCTGATGGAGTGGTCAAATTGACAACTACTGAAAACATGGAAGAGCAATTGGTCAGGGAGGTTATTCCCAATGCTACTGATGGAGCTGGTGATCTGCTGAAAGGGAATAAGGAAATATCTGTTGGTGATATCCCTGAGACTGCTGCTTTGGATCAAGTTATTTTGAACACTATAGATGGAGAAGCTGGCCTGTTGGGAGGGAATAAGGGAATATCTAGAGAGGACCATGTTGATCCTCATGTTGGTGATTTCCCTTCTTTGCAGGAATCCATTCTACAGAAGAAGAAAGTCAGAGGGAGGAAAAAGGAGCTTGTGGGCTCTTCTAGTAAATTGGATTCATTGGTAGGTGGTGGAGGTTGTGACACTAGGAAGCCTCGGGCAGCTGCTATGGGCGTTGTTGTGCTGCTTAATGAGATCAGATTTAAAAAGAAAGATATGTTTGAGAATGCTAGAGGTACTGTGAAAGGTGTTGGTACTGGTGATCACCCCATTCCTGCTTAGATGATCATATGTTTTTGGAATGTGAGAGGCATTAACAGTGTGCCTAAGCAAGGTAAGATTCTTAAGAGACTGGAGAGCTTGGGGGTGGATATTGTGTGTTTCATGGAAACTAGAGTCAGGAGCTGTAATGTTTCCAAGGTGGCTGAATTTTTTTCTGATGAGTGGAATTTTGTGACAAACTATCAGTTTGTTGATGGGGGCAGACTCTGGATTTTGTGGAGTAAGAGGCTGTCTTTCTCTGTGATTGGCGGATGCGATCAAGCACTTTCTATTAAGGGAGATATTTCTGGCCATAGTGTTGTTATTACTGCAGTCTATGGAAGTAATTACAGCCAGTCCAGAAGGGGTCTTTGGGATCATCTAAGGGATTTGGAAATGATGATTGGCCATTCATCTTGGGTGTTGGGTGGTGACTTCAATGTTATAGCTGATGCCCAAGAAAGCTCAGACTATTCTTTAATGGTTCCTCACTCTTAAGCTGATATGGAAGAATTCAAAGACTGCTTAGAGGACCTTGAGGTACAGGATCATCCTTTTGTTGGGCCTCTCTTTACATGGTCTAACAAGCAAGATGATTCCTATCTTGCCAGGAAGTTGGACAGGATTCTCACCAACTCTCAGTGGCTTCTGGATTTTCCAGATTCGTATGTTGAGTTCAAGGCCCCTGGTGTTTCAGACCATTGTCCTGGGTTAATCTGGACTCAAAATGAGGCACAAGTTCACAGGCCAAAGCCGTTTAAAATTTTCAATTGCTGGACTGCAACTGATAATTTCTTAAACATTGTCGAGGAGTCTTGAACTTGCTCACAGTGATGTCAATGCAATGCAGATTCTGTTCAACAAAATGAAAAGACTGAAGCCAATTTTAAAGGAGTTAAATAGGAACCTTTTTTCTGATATTTCTGTTAGGGTGGCTGCCAAGAGGGCTGAGCTGGAGTCTGTTCAACTTTCAATCCTTTCTGGTTCTCTTCAATTTGGGGTGGAAGATGAGAAGAAGATCCGTGTTGACCTTGTGGATCTTGAAGTGGCTGAGCTTGATTTTTATAAGCATAGAGCAAAGATCCATTGGCTGCAGGAGGGTGATATGAGTACTAAGTTTTTTCATCAAAGGGTTGAATCCAAAAAAAAGAGAAACACAATCAGGGTTATTAGGAGTGAAAATGGGCAATGTTTTGAATCTTTTGATGGTATGGCTGCTGAATTGGTGGATTTCTACAGCAAATTAATTGGTGTTGTTGATCCTATGGTCCAAGATTGCTCTCCTGAGTGCTTAAAGGAACTCTTAAGCTATGCTCTGCCTGCTGGTGCTGAGAGGGTTCTGGTTGGAGAGGTCTCTGATAATGAAGTCAAGGAGGCCTTGTTTAGACAAGGCAAAGATAAGAGCCCAGGACCTGATGGATTCACTTCCTGGTTCTTCAAGGTGGCTTGGGGGATTGTTCACTCAGACTTCCTAAATGTTGTGAGGTATTTCTTTCAGACCTCTTACCTTTTACCAGCCTTTAATGCTACTGCAATAGTCCTAGTGCCAAAATCTTTGAATGCATGTATGGCTAAGGAATTCAGGCCTATTTCTTGCTGTTCTATGGTGTACAAAACTATTACTAGGATTTTGGTTACTCGACTAGCTCAGTTTTTCCCTGAAATGATTTTTTGCTAGCCAGTCTGCTTTTGTCAAAGGTAGAAGCATCACTGATAATACACTTTTAGCCCAAGAAATTGTTAAAGGCTATTCTAGGATGAATCTTTCCCCTAGATGTGCTATAAAAATTGATCTGCAGAAAGCATTTGATTCAATTAGTTGGAATTTTCTGCTGAATGTTCTGAGAGCTATGGGGCTTCCTGCTAGATTCTGTGGGTGGATTGAGACTTGTGTGACCACTCTTAGATACTCAATTGCTCTGAATGACAGCCTAGTTGGGTATTTTAAAGGTCCTAGGGGTGTTAGGCAAGGGGACCCTCTATCCCCTTACCTATTTGTAATTGTTATGAATGTTCTCTCTAGACTGCTTGATGTTGCTGCTAGGAATGGAATTTTTAGATTCCATCCAAGATGTAAGAGGATCTCCCTTACACATATATGTTTTGGTGATGATCTACTGTTATTCTGTCATGGTTCTATGGATTCAGTTTTGGGAGTGACTAGTATTTTAGAAAAGTTCTACCACCTATCTGGGCTCAATTTAAATGCCTTGAAAATTGAGCTTTATGTCTGTGGGATAAATGGTGGTGAATTAGAACAGATTCAAGCAGCTACAGGGTTTAGGACTGGTCTTCTTCCTATTAGATATTTGGGTGTTCCTTTAGTAACTCGGAAGCTCTCAAGGAAGGATTATGCTGCTCTATTGGAGAGAATTAAGGATAAATTGAGGCAATTGTCAAGCAAGAAATTGAGTTTTGGGGGAGATTACAGCTCATAAAAGAAGTATTATTCAGTATCTTCAATTACTGGAGTAGGCAACTTGTTTTGTCTAAGGGTGTGATTCATGATATAGAGAGGTTGTGCATGAGATTTTTTTGGAAGGGTAATGACTTCCCTGCTCATGGAGAAAGGGTCAGCTGGAACCAGATTTGCTCCATTAAATCTGAAGGAGGCTTGGGGCTAAAGAGTTTGACTTGCTGGAATAAAATCTGTTGTTTTATGCTTGTTAGAAATATCTTAGCTGGCGAGGGTTCCCTATGGGTTGCATGGATAAAAGCGTACTGCTTTAAGCTTGATGATTACTGGAATGTTGTCAATAAGCCTCATTTTAGCTGGATACTCAGGAAGTTGATCAAACTGCGTGAGGAAGTCAGAGGTTTATTCCCTGCTTCAGGTAGTTGGTTGCAGATTAAAGGGGACTGGATCTGGAATAGCATTCGGGACAGGAAAAGCAAAGTTACTTGGCATAGAGTCATTTGGTTCCCTACTCACATCCCTAAGTTTTCATTGATCACGTGGATGGCCGTCCTGGATCGTTTACCTACCAGGGAGAGGCTGTGTAGATTTGCTGTGTTGACTGATGCAAGCTGTGGTCTATGTGGTACTGTCCTGGAATCAAGAAGCCATCTGTTCATAGACTGTTCTTTCTCGAGGGAGGTTTGGAATGTTTTACTGCAACTTTGTGGGTTGCGAATGCAGTGGCTAAGTTGGGATCATTCACTTTGCTGGTTGGTCAGTAACCTGAAGGGTAAGTCCTTGCTGGTGCACATTCTTAAACTTGCATGGACTGGTTTTGTATACTTCATTTGGGATGAACGTAATCGCAGATGTTTTAGAGGTATGATGCGTTCAGTAGATACTATTGTAAATATCATTAAGGAGGCTGTTAGAATCAAGTTGTATAGACATTATATAAATAGGCTTGATAGCGTAAATAGGTAGTTGTGTATTGATTGGAGCCTATCCTAGATGTTCTTTTGTACTTTGTAGCAGCTTGCTGCTTTCATTGGATGAAATTCAAATTGTTTATTAAAAAAAAAAGTATAATCGGTTTTCCGATGGAAAATTATGTCTTATTAGGGCATCTAGTTGACATGCAAGGAAATAGAGAAAATATAGAAAAAACCTTTGAGATGTCGAATTTTACCCGTTGGATTAAAGATAATCCAACGTCTCAGAACGAAACCCTAGCTAAACCTAAGCTGAGAGCGTGGCTACTTAAGCTGAAGCAGGCCGCAGCTCTCGGCCTCTGTATCTCATTTCTCCATACTATATAGCTTCAGGTTGTGCAAATCCAGCTATAGTTCATTTTAGCAAACAGGTAAAAATCTCTTTGAAATGTTAATTTTCTAATTTTTTTTGGTTCTGATTTGTAGCTTCTTGTATGATTCTTATCTGTTTTGTGTTGTCTCGGATCTGATTCCAATTGTTTTGATTTGGCTGAGTTTTTAAATTTTATGCATTTATGTTGGTTTAAAATTTTATGATTTTAACAGATCTATTGAATCAGATTAAAACCGGTAGAAATTTTGATAACAAAATTATCAAAATGGAAATGAATCTTTCTTCTCTAATTGAAACTTTCAACTGTTTTCATTGGAAGAGTTGTATTTAAAAATATAGTGGCTGTAGTTGATTGGAAATAACTCCATATCGATGGAAGAGCTGGTCCCAGATCCCAGCGGCCGTGTTGTGTTGATACTTTGGATTTATTTCCTTTCTCTAAAATGAGTTGAATTATTGTGTATATAACTTCTTTTTAATTTAAACAGATGAATTATTGTTGGATATTCGTAAGATATGATTTTATGCTGTAGTTCGTATTGTAGATAGCCTTTTTGGATTTTTTATTTTTGATTTTGTATGTTTATGTGAATTGTTTTATGGATGTGTTCGTTCTCGTATTTTCAGTTTCTCCCGCGAGTTCTATAATGGGTAAGGAGAAGATTCACATCAACATTGTTGTCATCGGCCATGTTGACTCTGGGAAGTCAACAACCACCGGTCATTTGATCTACAAGCTTGGTGGTATTGACAAGCGTGTGATTGAGAGGTTCGAAAAGGAGGCTGCTGAGATGAACAAGAGGTCGTTCAAGTATGCCTGGGTGCTTGACAAGCTTAAGGCTGAGCGTGAACGTGGTATTACCATTGATATTGCCCTGTGGAAGTTTGAGACCACCAAATACTACTGCACTGTCATTGATGCCCCTGGACATCGTGACTTTATTAAGAACATGATTACTGGTACCTCTCAGGCTGATTGTGCTGTTCTTATTATCGACTCAACAACTGGTGGTTTTGAAGCTGGTATCTCTAAGGATGGTCAGACCCGTGAGCATGCTTTGCTTGCGTTTACCCTTGGTGTCAAGCAGATGATTTGCTGCTGCAACAAGGTGAGCTTTAGAACTTATTTATGTATATTATTATTAATGTATTGATGGTCTTTTATGATAATTTTGGTGATTTTAATTGATTTTCAATTATTTTTGGTATAGATGGACGCTACAACTCCAAAGTATTCCAAGGCAAGGTATGATGAAATTGTGAAGGAAGTCTCTTCATATCTTAAGAAAGTTGGGTACAACCCTGAGAAGATCCCATTTGTCCCAATCTCTGGTTTTGAGGGTGATAACATGATTGAGAGGTCTACTAACCTTGACTGGTACAAGGGTCCCACTTTGCTCGATGCTCTTGACCAGATCAATGAGCCCAAGAGGCCTTCTGACAAGCCACTCAGGCTCCCACTTCAGGACGTCTACAAGATTGGTGGTATTGGAACTGTCCCTGTTGGTCGTGTTGAGACTGGTGTTCTTAAACCCGGTATGGTTGTGACCTTTGGTCCCACTGGTCTGACCACTGAAGTTAAATCTGTTGAGATGCACCATGAATCCCTCCCGGAGGCTCTCCCTGGTGACAATGTTGGGTTCAATGTTAAGAATGTTGCTGTTAAGGATCTCAAGCGTGGTTATGTTGCTTCAAACTCAAAGGATGACCCTGCCAAGGAGGCAGCCAACTTCACCTCACAAGTCATTATCATGAACCACCCGGGTCAGATTGGAAACGGATATGCCCCAGTTCTCGACTGTCACACCTCCCACATTGCCGTGAAGTTTGCTGAGTTGTTGACCAAGATTGACAGGCGATCTGGAAAGGAACTTGAGAAGGAGCCCAAGTTCTTGAAGAACGGTGATGCAGGGATGGTGAAGATGGTTCCCACCAAGCCTATGGTTGTCGAGACTTTCTCGGAGTACCCACCTCTTGGCCGTTTTGCTGTCAGGGACATGCGTCAAACTGTTGCCGTCGGTGTCATCAAGAGCGTTGAGAAGAAGGACCCAACCGGTGCCAAGGTCACCAAATCTGCCGCCAAGAAGAAGTGAGATTGCATTTGAGCAATAATTGTGAGTTCAAGGATAGTTTTCTAAAATTTGGTTTTATATTTGTTTAGTTTTTAAAAGGCGCTTTGTTGGACCAATTTTGATATGCTTTATCCGCTGTCATGTTTTGTTTGAGACTTTGGTCATTGTTGTTGAATCCATCTTTAGTTTGTGTTGGTCAATTGCCATTTAAGACCATTTCTATTCATGTTGTCATGAGGTTTTTCACTCTATGCTCTCTAATTGGTTGTCATTCAATCTTTTCTTGCCAACTGTTTTTGCCGGCCGTAGTAATATGTACGACAAAGAACCCAATTACCTCTCCAAGTCATCCGAAATGCTTTACCTTCAGTAAATCAACAGGTTATACCGTAACATTTTGAAATTTTGTTGTTTGATTCTGATCGGTTGAATTTGAGTTTCTTAATATCTTTATTTTAATCAATAATTGTAACACCTTGAAATTTAACGGAGAGTTATAATTTCTAAAGTTTTAGACTCAATTCTACAAATTGTGGAGTTAAATTTGTTCAATTAATTATAAATTTGTAGTTCAGAGCATTAAAGATTATTAAATTGAAGGAAATTAATATGTTGGCTCAATTGGAAAGAATTGATGAAAATTGGGTACTGAAATGAATATGCGATAAAATAAAATGCTTGCTTTGAAAGGTTTAGTAAGTAAGAATCAAATTGAAAAAAAAAATAGAAAACCAATTCAAGAGAATTATGGAATAGACTGGATACGTACAAAGGCTTAAGGCTAACTTTGTGAATTCTAAGAGAATTCAGGGTCACGCCACACAATTAACGTTAAATTAAGTGGTATAAATACAAATCTTAAAACCCTGAAGCCTCTTAGTTTGCCATTTTTTTCAAATCCATAGTCACCGCTCACTGGAATTCTTTAAGTGGGCGATTTTTGGTCACCGAGTGCCGTCGTCCCTGTCGCTTTGATCAACATGCAATAAGTTTGTAAAAGATTTGTATCGTTGACTGATGCTTAGATCCGTAAATTGTACATATAGTTGCGAATTGAGCTCAATGAATGTTATTGTTGACTTGTGTTCCTGAGTAATGACTGTTGAGTCTCGCGTAGGGATGGCAACGGGCCTGGTTCGGGCCGGGTATTGGTCCCCGTCCCTATCCCCATTTAAAAAATACGTACCCGTCCCCGCTTAAAAAACTGAGAGGATTTAAACGGGGATCTCCATCGGGTAATCGTGGAAAACCGCTGGGAAACGGGTATCCCCGTTTAGCATACACAGTTATTTAAACGGGTATCGGGCCGGGTATATTTATTTAAATTAAATATATAAATATTAAATATATATTTTAAATTAAATTAAATTTATTAATATTATATATATATAATTATTATTTTTAATATTTATCGGGCCGGGTAATCGGAGTGGGGATTACCAAACCCGTCCCCGTCCCCGTTTATCATCCCCGAACCCGACCCGTTTAATTCGGTTTTCGATTTTCCCTGTCGGGTTTGAGTTTTTTTACCATCCCTAGTCTCGCGAAATTCGATAATATATTATTCAATATTATGATCTGTGTGGCGATTCCTGATATACGACCCTTGTAACATTTATTCGATATATGATCATGGTAGACAATTGTTTATTTAAATATTTGCATGTGTACGTAGTAACATTTGTAGTATCCAACGTTGTATAATATCATATATTGATAGTGTTATATTTTAGTTATGCGAATAATGTATGATTGCTATATCATAGTTGAGTGGGTTGTAGCACTTGATTTTCAATGATTTTGGATGTCTCTACCATTGTTATAACTTATGAATATGATTCTCTTAAATGAGTTGTAATATGCTACTCTATAAACATAAGTAGGTAGGTTAAGCCTTTTTATAAATTGAGGGTTACACATGTTTACGACTAATGCCTTCAAGTTCATATCTGACTCCTATGCTTATTTTATGAAATTCTTGAAATATAGTAGAGTAGATGTATCACTAAGTTTTGTTAGGTCAACGTCCATATTATTTTTGTTTACAGGTTTCGTGGATCGTGATGAGATAACGATATCATTAGAAGAGTTTAATTGAGAATACTATAGTACAATAATGATGACTTTCGTGGACATATAGAGAGGTAATGATTTGTTTTTATTATTCGAGTCATGTTGTAATCATTTTATTTATACGTTTGGTATTTAAAAGTAAAAGAGCTCCAAATTTACAAGTTGTGTATTTTCACATTTTTTTTTATGAAATGTTTTAAAGATTTTGAGTAAATCATGATTTTCAGAGTCATAAAATTTTGGATCACTTTAATAATTGAATGTGACATTCATAAATGCGACGTTGAGTAAAAGTTAGATTTAGAGTCTTATACGTATCCTCAGGACTTCACTAAGCTAACAGTGTAATCAACAAATGGAATGATGGACATTTAGTTTAATATCTTTTATTTTAGTTTCAGAAATTATATTAATTATTTCACCTACAATTTATACATTATATTAACATAATTTCAATTTTTTTATAAATTTTAAAATATTAAAATCCTAAATTCTAAAGTTAAAAAACTAAAA